TGGTGAACACATAAACTTAGAACTTAAACATCACCCTCACATCGAAACCCCTGATCGCCTGGATTCCTATTGAAATGACTGGATTTTGCAGAGCACAAATGGTACTGCACCTTAACTGCTAAAGCAGAGTATGCTGTCAGGTAGCTAATTAAACAACAGCATTTAAAGTATAATGATAAAGTATAATGTTGGCATTAGAACATGAGACTTATGTGTTTGCATTAGACTAGTGTGATAAAATTGTCTGTGTACATTTGTTCAGCTTCATTGTCATGACCCCAGTGACGGTCGTAACCAGACGTAACCAGACATTCATTCTCTGAAAAGTATTAACAGCATTAAAAAGATGGTCCAGCTCAAAAAATAAACAAGACTTGTTAGCGCTGTAACAAAAATACATGCTTTCCATTTCTGCTTTTAAAGCCTCTGAAATGGTTTACTCTTATAAGTGCATTCCTGTAAATGGCATTTTTACTTTTAAAATATAAAAAGCTCAGGGACAAGTCAAATTATTTTCCGGAGTGACATTGTGCCACAAATGCAAGCTAGAATGGTTAAAGTTGTATAAAGTTTAATAATTTAATGGTAAGTACGAATGGGCTTAATTTTAAGCAAAATAAACTGTAATTTGCTATTCGTTTGATAAGTTGTATGTTTTTCAGCGTCTGGAAGACATTCCCTGCAGTGTTGAAAAGAATAAATAGGAATCGCCAGTTCACACAAAAAAAAATCCAATAAACTGTAATTTGCTAATTCTTGTTTCTTTGATTGAGGTGAGGTGTCAAACTAGATTATTAATAATTCATGTTCGCTCGCCTAGCCTCTGAATCTGTCTTTGTCAGATGTAGCATTTGTTCTCTTTATTGTAATGTCATTTTTGGAGTGCTTTTTATTATACTCATTTATTATACTATAATTTTTATACTAATTCCCATAAACAACCCAAAAGGGGGTAAGAGATATAAAAAAAAGAGTGAAAGCCGAGCAAATAGAGTTCGATTAAGAGCTTTTGCTCTCTAGTGGATCCTTGTATCCATTGGTATTCCTCTCAGGATCTGGCAAATATGTTCTGCTTACAGCAAGGAGAATCTTATCATGGAGTCTGACTTTGTCAACACTATTAGATTCTGACACCGTGCGGAGAGTCAGAGATTAATAACTTCCATGTAGGCAGGGGGGTCGAGGGTGGTTGGCTATAAGGCGGAAGAATGAGAGAGATTAACGAGTGTGAAAAACAATGACTCCTTCGTTAAACTCTAGATCGACGTGCCAATTCACAACGGTTTGATTAATATGGGGTTTCGGGCCTGAGAACTGTTATTTGTGAGGGTCAAGGAGATTTAACTGCCAGTAACTGGTAGGTAGCCATAAGGTTTTTGATCCCAAACTTGCATGAGAGTATCATTAGAATTGGTCATGTACAACAAAGCACGGTCGACCCCCAACACATGATGTTTACCAGGTAATAATTCATAATATTTGGAACTGAAAAAAAACCCGTATATCTTGACCAAAATATCAAGGCCTGGTTGAGTTGCATTATAGTGTGTTGAAACTCACAGTTATGGTAAGAGGCATGACATTTCTTAAACATGCTTGAATCAGTTGACCAATCACAACACACTGGTCCAGCAGACCAATCAGAACAAATTGTGCTATTCGGAAGGAGGGGCTTCTTAGAGAAAAGAACTAAACAGGGTTGCATTTCCCGAAAGCATCGTTAGCCAACTATGGTCGCAAGTTGGTCGCAAATCCCATTGAACTCTATGGAACTTGCGACCATAGTTGGCTAACGATGCTTTCGGGAAACGCACCCCTGGGTTGCATTTCCCGTACAACGACGTAACTCGCTGCTTAACTACCATAGTACGATGCATCGTTGAAGGAACCAACTAGCTAGTCACGACTGTTTCCCAAAACCGTATTGTCGCAAATTTGTCGTTCAACCATGTTGGTTAATGAGGTCATGCACGTGGTGGAGTAATAACTTATTTTAACGAATCTGTTTGAGATCGAATTAATGCTAGATGTTTTGCTATAAATTACGGACATGGCATCTGAGAACTATTTCGTATTTTTATTTCGCTTTATTGCCAGATTCAATCATAGGCTTGTACTAGAGCACGTTCCCACATGCGCACTCTTCAAAAATGGTGCTTTAAATCTCTTGACAAACTAAAAGACGTAAATGACATTTGTAAGTATTATAAATAAAAGATACAGATTGTACTGAATGTCAGCTTGCTTATTTTGCTCAAGATAAGGATTTATTGAGTCCACGTGTCATGCAAACTAGAAACTCTGCTTCTAACCACAAGTCTAGAGCTGTCGTTCCAACCACACAACTTTGCGATGCTGTTTGCGAATGTTCGTTGGAACGATGGTTTCGGGAAACACCGACTTGTTGAACTATGCTGATAACGACGGAACTTGCGACCATAGTTGGCTAACGATGCTTTCGGGAGCCCCAGAGCGTTACTGTCAGACTGGGAAGAGAGGTGCAGCAACAATGTCAAATATGTGAAAGATGTGCTTTTTAAACATTCAAACGTGAAAACCTATTATAGTAGACCCCAAAAACAAAATCAAGACTTTGTAAAAGGGCATAAGTCATCTTTAAGACGTGTACACATGGACGTAAAATGTCATTTCTTTTTACTGTGGCTACATTACATGACATGTACATGACAATTTTAGAAACTTCTCTTTTATATGGTCTAAAGTTTTTAAAAACCATTGTGAAACCAACATGAATACAAATAAAATAATTCAGTGCTTTTCTAAAAACTTTTAACAAAGATGTGTCCACTTTTATGTCATTGACAGTCTTAAGCCGGGGATACACTTAAAGACTGTAAGGCCGATTATGAATGTAATTTGATACTTACGACTGATCATGCCCAAACGCGCTGAGTCAGAGACAGTTGCGTTTAGTTGATGTTCACAGCCGGTGTGTAAAATCTGCTGCAGTCGTTGAAAACAGTAAGTGTTTAGTGCGGTTTTAGAATGTTTCAGTGTGTCCCCGGCATTGTACTGTATGTCATTGACTGAGGATCCATGTGTCCTAAAATTGCTTTTCATACAAAATAAATGACAGTATTCAATGTCATACTCAAGTATACACCCACTAATATCACATAACAGCTTTTAATAAATGGGAACGATTGCAGTGGCACAAAAGAGGCTTCAAGGTTATTCCAAAAACCAGTGTATTATTTGCCCTCAAGTTAAATTGCTGTTACTAAGATCATTGTGTGTGGGGGAAAAAATCACAAATGCAATCTTTAATATATCAATTGTTTCTGCTAGACATGAGATTAAATGGAGAGTAATTGGACACTTTTGCTCAATTATCTTAGATATTAATCTCATGTTTCTCGACAGCAAATTCTCAAACTGTGCTTAGATTTGCTAAAGTCAATACCAAATTGTCTGAACTCTATTATTCATAATCTATACACTTTTTGTGTGACAACAATTGTCTCCAGGAGCAACTTACAGTATAAGCAATATAAATGTTCCTAAAAATTTGCATCTTTTTTGATTATGCTAATGTTGAGTTCGCTCCCTTAAGTAGTCTTCCAATTGTTATATTCACTAAACAACTCTTAAGCTGGTGGTGCAGAATCTATATACAGTGCATTTGTGTGATATCTTCTGCCTCAGACTTATCTTGTCACATCCAAATATGATGAACTTTTCACCCTATGTTCTGTCAAAGTCAGAAAAGTTGTCAGAAAAAGTGTTCCACGTGAATTATTCATCGCCTTGAATGGATCACATTCGAAGTTGAGGAGCGCAAATGCATTTATGGGGATTTTACTGTCATTTTCCTTTATGCAACAAAAATGGTGGCAGTGTCGTTTCGGTTCTTAGTCTCACCTCATCTTTGATGTTCCACATGCATATTGACAATGAAGGGTTGTATATGATTATTATTCAGCTGGGTCTGTAAAGAAGTCTATACAGATGGTGCATGCTATAAAATATGTCCGTTACGCTCCTCATCAAGGCGATGTTTATGGCAGGCGGCTTGCAAAGCAGAAGGTCAGGCATAATGAAAGTATTAAGCTTATGCATTCAAACATGAGCAAACTTTCAACTCTGAACAAAGAGAAGTAGTATTTCATCTGTAAACTCACTAGGCATTAAAGGGATACTTCCTTATGTTGTTTGTAGGATTTTCTTTCCTCTGTGGAACACAAAAGGAGACTGAACAATGTTCTAGTCGCTCTTTTCCCTGCAGTTATATTCTTCCCCTCCAGTGAACTGATAACAGCTGCAACCTGATCCTTTGTGTCTCAGTGGAGGCTGAATTAGTTGAATTCAACAATCAGATCACACTGTTTCATGAACAAAACATTCAGACTTGTTTTGTGAAGCAAATAATATAATTCACAAAATGGAGAACCCTACTTCTATCATGAATTCTTCTGAACAAGACTGCGCCAAGGAGAATTAGGCTGCTTTTCGAGGCTTTTTGTTCAAAATGTCGTTTTTTCCATGAAACTTGCCCACATTCAAGTCTTGATAAAAAAAGAATGCATGAAGCTAGAATAAATTTTTTTTTTTTTAAAGCAGAGGCTATGTTCTTTATTTTGATGTACTGCATGGTCAGATATTCATACAACAAAAAATATTCTGCAGGGCCTTGAAAATGTCAAAAATGCTGGCAGGGCTTTTTTTTTTTTATACTGGCGAGGAAAGAGTTAAGATACTTTTATAGTGCTTTTACATCTGATTTGAAGCTTGAAAGCCTCCATTCGTTGCAATTGCGTGGGGAAATCGAAGAAAGTTCACTTGGGATGATGGTGACATTGATGCCAGAACTTTCTTTTTTTTGGGGGGGGGGCTGTTACTTAATTTAATGGAAGACTTGAGGAGTATATGCTGAAGATTTTATAATCACTCTCGTTTCTCTCTCTCCCTTTCTCTCTCTCTCTCTCTCTTTCCCCTTCATCCCTGTTCCTCCATCTCTCTTCTCCATTTCATGCTCTCAGAGGCGGCAACGAAAAACAAAGTGAAAGGTGAGTTATCTTCTCTGTCTTTGTGGCTGGATGATTTATGTTGAACACAACTCCCAATAAACAATGTGCCGTTCGGCCCCCTCTTATCTCCCAAAGGAGCCTGGGATGCATTTACATAGTCTCTGCCTGTGAGAAAGCAAACCTGGAACATTTGATGAATTGGCCCCAGGAATATCCATTATGAGCTGAATCCGCTTTACATGCTTCCTGGGTTTACAGCAAACTTGTGCTACACGTTTAGGAGAAAGATGCCAGATTTTGTACAGGTCACCATTGCTGATGCATAGAACCGCTACTCTAACAAAAAGTGGAAACATTTTGTCTTGGATATGTGACACAGTGATGAATTCTCTAATACAGACAGCCACTTTTGAATGTGTTATTTTAGCTCAAAAAACCTGATTCTTATTCACAAACCCACAATCCAGTTTAACCAGTTGCTAAATTCACTGTAATAACGATGCAGCGTATTTAAATTAAGTTATTGTAATTTTCTTCCGTGCAAACACGCCGCCTTTCGAAAAATGCCTGTGAATTATGCTTATTATAGAAGGCACCTTATTCACAAAGCGCAATGCTATTTGCCTGATGCAATTAACGTTGCATTATAACCACCCACTGGAAGTAGGTGGCAAATGGAATTTAATTTAAAAGATAGTTTGTGTATATTTTCTATTGATCATGACAGCAGTTATTCATCCGATGATGGAGAATAACATATATCCAGATGTACGATGTAGTTGAATGTGCTTTTTTAAAAGGTCTGATTCAGGTGTCTAGATCGCAGTAGTGCTATAATCGTAATAAAGTTAGTCAGATTGTGGTAATTTGCCATATCGTCTACAACTGCACTTACATCCATGCAAATTGAGTTTAGCTAAAACAAGGCAATTAAGTCTTTGTAGTGTTAAAGGATGCCGGCACAGTGCCTAACAGCAAGAAGGTCCCCGGTTTGAGACCCAGCTGAGCCAGTAGTCCTGGGTTTCACTCGTGGGTGCTCTGGTTTTCCCTCCGGGTGCTCCGGTTTCCCCCACAATCCAAAAAACATGCAGTATCGGTGAATTGGAGATGCCAAATTGTCAGTAGGTGTGAATGCGTGTGTGTGAGTCCCAAGCCATTTAATAGGGAGGGTTGGGAAAAAGACCTGGCAGCCTACACCGGAAAAATCATTGGCAAGAAAATTCATGGACAGTCTCTGGCGTATGGCAAGAGATGGTCATAGAATCACCAAGAGTCGGATACGACTGAAATGGTAATAGATAGATAGAGATAGTGTTAAAAGAGCTTTGTAGCATTATAGTCTGTTTGGCTTTAAAAAATCTAAATCATTTACATGAAGTTCTTTGCAAATTAGAGTTAATGTCAAGACCAGACCAATACCAGACAATGACAAGATCAAGTTATATTTGAGGTAAACCAAAGAGATGTGGTGTGCTTGGAGATGTGAGATATCTATCCCTTGTGTGGGGTCTTAAAACAATGCTAGATCCAGACCAAGGCCATGTTTATGTGGTATCGAGAGTTCTCCTGTGGACCAAGACCACAAAACCAACACTCCAAATTGCAGAAAATGCATTTCTTTCTAAAAAATGTTCTAACAATTATCAGGACAGGTAGCTGAGAGTGTAGTATATTTAATGACAACAAACAGCAGTTGCAATTACATATACATTTTTATCAAGTTGGTAGTAATGTATAAGCAGAATGGTACTATAGAGTTCCTACAGATTAGTCTCTAAAGATGACTCTAAAACTCACAGGCAATTACAGTGTGGAGATCATTAGGTTTAGTTTTTAGGGTAAGTCACGGTTACCTGAATTACCTGTTGAGATCTGCGCAAAGTTGTAATATGTACAATTTGCTAATAAGCCAAGCTTAAAGGCAGTGTTGCAGGGTTAATTTTTCAACGAATTTGTGCAATTTGCTTGTTGGTAATAAACATTTAAACTGTTATCCATTGTATTTTGGGTATCACAAAACGGAATATAATACGAAATAATATAGGCACTATCTTACAGCGGTTTGCAACGATTCTCCTTTCCCCCACAATGCACTGCATTACGTCACCTTGGGGAGAGAATTTACCAAAGTCCGCCTTGACTAGAGAGTGACTAGAGAGACGAGTAGTAGACGAGAGTATTCAGATAGCGCAGATTATAGATAAATAGATAAATACATAGATATAGATAGACTAGATATATAGATAGACAGATAGATAGATATAGATAGATAGGCTAGTATAGAGAGAGATAGGCAGACAGCATAGCCAGATAGCATAACGTTAGCATAGATAGCTAGCAGCTAGATAGATAAATAGATAGTAGGTAGATTGACAATGGTGAACTACTGTGTTTGTGCTGGGTGTAAAAACTCCACCCAAACAGGACACAGGGTCCATGGCTTCCCTATGAAGGACAAGGCAACCTTCAGACAGTGGGTACAATTTGTCCGTGTTATGCTGCGTTCACACCAGACGCAAATAGCGCGTCAAATTCGCGCCTACCGCGTCTAGTTATTACATTTTAGATAAACGCTTAGAAACGCCCATATAGCTAGCATGATGCCTTCTATTTCTAGATGACAAAGACAAAGTTTACCAGTACTATGACACTATGACAAAGGTTACTGGTACTTATCTGAACTAGCGTCATGTTCACTGCCACTAGATATATAAAGAAAACGTTGATTTTTCACTCAGTGCTATTCAATGACAGTAAAAAGAAAAAAAAAAAAGTGTCGTTATTGTGCACTGCTGCTCGTAGACTAGCTCCAATGCAAATCTTTGTAGTTATGCATTTTGTATGTATATTATGAGAATACTGTGCATTACATGTATAGTATGCAGTTAATGTTTTGTCGCTTCTGGTCTTTCCTGTCACTACATAATCGCATCCAAGACTTTCACTTTGATACTTGTGTATTGTATACAATTTGATACAATGTGTAATGTAAATGATAGCACTTCACCAACTCTCCACTCATTCTCCTTGGACCATTTAATTGGCTTTGACGGCCATCAGTTCTTGGCAATTCCTCATTTGCCCTCTCACGTCTGGCAGGTTAGAAAATTATACGGCTGCGGGCCATCATACATGTTGGCTCTTGCCACCTCTTCCTCATCCCAGTCAGTCGCCATAGTTCTAATACTAGGCTGAGGCTACCTTTCCTCCACTTCCCCCAACGTGACGTCATCACCGAATTGCGTAAAAAAAAAACGTTAATACCAAAAACGTAAAAAACTGGTCTTTAAGACCATTTTTGAGACATTTTAAAAATGATATACATATCTTGAGTGATTTATGTACTAGGGGTGGAACGGTACACAGAAGTCACGGTTCGGTTCATACCTCGGTTCAGACATCACGGTTCGGTACGATTTCGGTACAATGGAGGGAAAAGCAAAACAAAAATGCAGAAGGCATTGTATTTTTTAAATAAGTTTTATTAATAAAGGCATAGAACCAGTTTATTTGTAGTGCACTGACAATAGTTTTATATAATTCGTTTATTAATTAAATTAATAAAAAGACAAAAAGACCTTGCGATATGTTTGGTAATTGTACCTGAATTAATTTAAAATTAATTTGCTATATTTCAGCTCAATATATTTGTTTTCCTTAATTTTAATTAACATTATTAATTAACAATGTAACATTATTCTCATCTGAATTATAAATAATTGATTTCTGTATAAAATAATACTACCATTAATAACGCATTCGATTTTCTTTTTTAATCAATGTAGAATGTTTAAGATTAGTGCTCCGAGGACGAGAAATGAAAGCAAATGCGATATGGGACCCACAGACTGTTTTGAAATGGAGTTGGATAAATATGTTTTGCTTTTAAAACAGTGTGTGTGTGTGTGTGAGAGAGAGAGAGAGAGAGAGAGAGAGAGAGAGAGAGAGAGAGAGAGAGAGAGAGAGAGAGAGAGAGAGAGAGAGAGAGAGAGAGAGAGAGAGAGAGAGAGAGAGAGAGAGAGAGAGAGAGAGAGAGAGAGAGAGAGAGAGAGAGAGAGAGAGAGAGATTTTGGTTGGGTGACAGTAGTAGGTTACAGTTTGACAAGAGTTTACAGTGTGACAAAAGCACAATGTTGTGTTTTATTGCGAGTGTACACAAATATAAGTAAACACTTTGCAGGTTTAATGATCTGTATGAACAAAATGACGGAGTATGTTTTTTATGTTTCCACTGTTCGATCGCGGCCGCGCCTCTCTCTCACACACACACACACACACACACACTCCAGCATTGCAATCTTGACATCGCAGCCTGTTCATTATGCAGTCCCACCAAACGCGAATAGAGCGTTAAATTCGCGTCTATCGCGTCTAGTTCGACGCTAGTCCAAAGCGAATAGGACGCGCGTATAAGCCAACGTTTGAAGTGAACGCGCATTCAGAGCAAAGCCGATGGCTACAGATTATGTGTCCCTAAAGAACCCGCGTATCTAACAGTAGTTCCGCATTACATTAATTAATTTCCACGCGAGTTTTATTTATTTTTATACCGTGTATTCTCCGTGTAAATTCGTGCACTGAACCGTGACGCCCGTACCGTTTCGGTTCGGTACGAATACATGTACCGTTCCACCCCTATTATGTACCCATTAATCGACAGTGGTGGTTAACCTGCAACACGGCCTTTAAGTTCTGATAATATAGCAGTGAAATGACTGGTCTAAATGAGGAGCTGAATATAGAGGCATTCAAGGATTTTTTTCTTGAAATGGAATGGCATAAAGCCCAGGCAGTTGTCTTCGTCTACAAAGGACAGCTGGTGATCTAAGATGACAGCAAACAGTGGCTTGACCTTCAGCTGAGATTTGAGACTGTGAGAGGTTGGGTGAGGAAACTCATCAGGGAAGTCTTAGTTTGGAGGTATGAGCTCAGGGTTGTGGGTGGACATCTAGGTTGATATGTCAGAGTGGCATACAGAGATCCTTGCCATTTTGAGATTGTTGTCAGCATAGCAGTTGTAAAAGAAGCACCTGGATGAC